CGCAGAAATCCTAAAGAGCCTAGGAAACCTACAAGCCAACGCAAAGTTTCCACACCAGTGATCCTCCCAAAACCTGATGTGTCTCCCATTCCGAACTTTGGACCTAATGTGTTTAGAAAACTCGTCCCACCCTTCGGATAAGCTTCCACACACCCACACCCACACCCACACCCACCGGAGATCTCAACTCTCCGACATCCATCCTCCCTCTCCTCCCTATATCAACAGGCAATGACCCTTCTCCATAATCTGGACCTTTCGCCTCCAAATCTCCAAAGCCATTTTCCCAACAAAGACTTGTTGAACTACTCCAATCTCCTAATACCCAACCCACCCTTCTTTAAAGGGGAGCACACTCTTTCCGAGTTAACTAAGTGGTATTTGAACTCTTCACCCTTACCAGCCCACAAAAATGTCGTCTAAATCTCCTCTAATCTCTGAACAATAGACATAGGCATCATAAAAAGAGCAATGAAGTAAGTAGGGAGGTTCGAAAGAGTGCTCTTCGTAAGAGTAAGCCTCCCTCCTTTCGAAAGGTGTTGTTTCTTCCTTTGGCTCAACGGCTCCACTCTTCTTTGGAATAAGGGTAATAAATGAGGCATTAAGGCTCTTCTCAAAGACACCATCAGAATAGAACGTACAGAGAGCTCCCATCACCTCGGTCTTCACTGCCTCCCAATTTTGTTGGAAAAACGCCAATGTGAATCCATCCTGTCTTGGGGCTTTGTCACCATCACAACTCCTCAAAGCCTCCAAAACCTCCTCCTCCTCAAAAGGTCTCTCAAGCCAATCACTATCTTCACCTGAGATTCCCGCAAAGTCAAGACCATCCAGCAACGGCCTCCATGAAGCTGTCTCTGTGAACAAGTGCTGAAAGAAAGACACAAACCCAGTCCGGATCTCCTCATCCCTTGTCACCATATTCCCGTCAGTCTGAATCCTTCCAATATGATTTCCTCTTCTATGTGCATTCACCAAATGGTGGAAGAATTTCATATTTCAGTCTCCTTTCAACCAAAGAGTTCTAGATTTCTGCCTCCACTAGATCTCCCCCATCTTCACAATCTCTCCAAACTCAGCCTTGCAATATGCCTACCTCCATATCACTAAGGCCCCCCTCACCCTCATTACTACCCAACTCAGAGATTTTAAGACGGATTCTGTTTTTTTGCCATTCGAGATTCCCAAACACTTCCTTATTCCACTTCTTTATATCACCCTTGAGCAGCCTAATTTTGGATGCAAGTTGAAAACTTGGGCTGCCCCTAACATTATAACCAGTCCACCAAGTGCAGACCCTATCTTTGAAATCCCCAACATGAAGCCACATATTCTCAAACCGGAATGGAGTTCTCCCTCTCCGTACCCCTCCACAATCATGAAGAATAGGAATATGATCTGATACATTATGCGCTAAAGCCACCTGAGACGCATCAGGGAATTTCTCCTCTAAATCTGCAGAAATCAGAAATCTGACCAATCTAGACAACGTAGGAGATTCCCAACCACTAGACCATGTGAACTGACCTCCTTCCATCGGAAGATCAAAAAGATGGTGAGCGTCAATGAAGTCCAAAAACTCCCTCATTGCTGGTGTCCAACTTCGTCCTATATATCTTTCACTGGGCATTCTAACAACATTGAAATCCCCTCCCACACACCATGGAACAGACCATCTCCTTCTAGCAGTCAACTCCTCCCACAGCTCCCTCCTTTCCACATCCTCAACCGGTCCATAAACTCCTGAAAACATCCATTGAGAGCCAACTTCCTCTAACGAGAACAAAAAAAAAAAGATAGAAGATTTCCCCTTCCACATGTCAACCTTTGAGACCCACCTTTTATCCCAAAGAACCACAATCCCCCCGAAGTTCCCACAGCATCAATCGCCTCCCAATCAACAAAACGACCTCCCCACAGACGTCTCATCACTCTATCTGAAAAATGCATCTCTTTAGGTTTCTTGGGATTTTTGTATCCCGAGGAATCTAAAGAGTGTTAAACAAAGTTCTATAAATCTTCCTTTTGAAACTACATTCTTTTTATTTCAATTTAATTAGCCCATTAGTCTCCAAATGTTTTGTTCAGTCAATTTTTTATTTATTTGAAAATTTGGAGCTTTAGAATTTTTTTTTATGTAAAGCTAAAGCCTTTTGAGATATATAACTTACCTCATGATTTCCGTTACCATTCTTTAACTTGTATTTTTCATTTTTTATTATCTATCATGTTTTCCATAAAACATCTCTTATGTTGGAAAGAAAAAAACTTAATGTGACCCTCCTTTTTACAATATGAGTAATGATGGATAAATTTTAGGATATTCAGAAGAATCAAAAGCCTTGAGGTTAAGAAACACGGACACTTTTACGAGGTGCCGTGTCCGTGTCCAACATTTTGTCTGACACCGACACTCCATGGACACATTTTATTATTTCGGACACTTGGCCGACACATCTCTGGCACTTGACAGACACATCTCGGACAGTTGGTCGACCAACACTTCCTACACTCTTCGTCTTATAGAAAACAAATACACAACAGTCCTGAAAACAATATTATGAACATACATCAAAGTGTTCAACCTCCAAGGAACAAAAACATAACTATAATGAGAAGATAGATTTGTAAATGAAAATTTATAAATTAATTAAAGTTCTATGATTGTCTCATTCAATAGATTTATAAATGAAAATTTATACTTATATTAGTTGTGTCCATGCATTGTCCGTGTCCTACTCTTTTAGAATTTGACGTGTCGACGTATCTGTGTCGTATCTTGTCCGTATCCGTGCTTCTTAGCCTTGAGGGCTTCTTTCTCTTTTTCAATCTTAGTGCTAGAAGTAGAAGGTTTATTAGATTTATCAACAAATCTTAGACCACTTTTATCTCCTACAGGTTTACTCATCCCCAATATTCTATTTAAATTTTCTGTTCCACTAATGAAGTTTTGAATTTTCTCTTTTGATAAATCATCTACAAGTTCTTTTAATTTTAAATTCAGGACTTTTTAAAATTTATAACATGATCAAGTTGGATTTCTAAAAACTTCTCTTTGATTAAAAAAAATTCTCTCTCAATTTTTAGTTCTTCAACTAGAGATAGAGCTTAATCCAAGTCAAGTTTGGAAGTATTCCGCTCAAGTTCAATACCTTCAAGTGTTCTGGTTTCTAACTTGCAAAAATCACGTTCCTTCTCTAACCTTCTATGTTTTTCAAAAGGTCTTCTCTCTTTTTCTACTATTTTAAGTTTTGCACTTGGTTTATTTTTATTTTCTTTCTCTTTAAGAAAACTACTAAATAGTTTTGTGTCTCACCTTCATCAAGTTCTGAATCACTTTTCACATTTATTATTAGTATATGACAATTTACTAAATTTTAAACTAACAGAATTGTTGTTAGATCCAACTGGGGGATGTGAATATTTAGACTTGGGACACATAGGTTCATCAATAAAAGCAGTGAGATTAATTAGTATTAAATTGGATTTTCCTTTTTATTTTTATTTTAAAGAGCCGTTTATCTATTCACCAAAAATAACAGATCTACCTACAACCTGATCTGATACCAATTGAGAAATATAAGACTGTTACCCGAATTTCTGATATGCGATAGTAGGCTAAGCCCAAAATAGATCTAGAGGGGGTGAATAGATCTTTTCCAATTTTAACTAACAATAAGTTGTTTTTAAAAACTAGTGATTGTTTTTAATACACAATAATATGAATCAGTTCGAGTATAGAGACGAGAAATTAGTAAACCAAGCGACCACACATAAATATTTGATTTTTACATCAAAAATGTTTACAAGGAAAAAACTACAGAACCTAGCCCAAGCAGAACAACTAGGTTATCAGTTCTCCAAACCTTTGAAAACCCCTAGTTACCTACTGACAATAGCTGACATCAACCTCTCCACTCAAGTCTCCAAACTGTCCCATACGTTAACAGATTTGTTCCTGACATGATCCACTTCTCCACAAGTACATTGATCTCCTTGGCTAGTCGTCCAGGTTGCATGTTTGTTGTGTAGAAACACTTTGGTGTTGAATTCTCCATGTAGCAAAAGGATTATGATGATTAGAACTCTGCAAGATGCTTGATGATGAAAAGTAAAATATGCAATCTATGTGCCTGGATGCTCTCCATAAAAGTCTCTCTCTAGATGTGCAAGTGTCCTCTCAATAATGCCTAGTGAGATCTTTGTATCTCTGTATATATGTTACGAGAGCCTAGAAGTGTTTATATAGTGCTTTAAGTCCAAAGGAATTAGGGCTTCTAAGTTCTAATTAGGAAAAAAAAAAAAAAAAACCTAAACCTTTTAGGCTTCTGATTTAAGAGAGTTTCCAAAAACAGTTCACGCATTGCTATGATCAATTGAGCCTTTGATCGAAGCATTATGGACTTCGATAAAACTTCTCTAGAAATTTTCGATCGACCGACACATCAATCTAGCCGTTCTGTTTTTTATAGTCATTTTCAGTTAAATATCTTGATCTAATGACAATTTCATGCATTCAAAACATCTTTTAATGAATGACATGTATGCATTGTGCCCTAAATAAGAATGCATGATTATGAACCCTAATTGGTGAGTGAGTTATTTTTTTGCCTTTGATGTATCTTCAAATATTGATCCTGTCCTTGGACATAGATACCACCACTGACTAGCCAAGTTAATAACTTTTGAAAATAAAACAGAAGTTACAACCTCCGGCTTTTGTTATGAAATTTGCCAACACTCAAGTTCTATCGTCACATTCTCAAAAATAAAACGCATTTTTAAATGATAGGAAGTGTTTCCATGAAAAATAGATGCATGATTTGAAAAATATAGGCAATACAAGGTATTGAGGGAAATTTTCTGAAGTGTGGGTTCTAACATACTTTGCTTTGAAGCTTGATCCATTTCCTGATGTACCTATGTTCTTCTTATAATAATGAATGAGAAAATGCTTTTTCCCCTCCTATTCGTATCAATCTTGCCTTTTCTTTTGACAGCTTGACAGGTGGTTCCATTGTAGGGGACATAGCTCCTTATCAAGCATTTGCAATAGGGGGTCTTGGTAGTGTGCGGGGGTATGGTGAGGGTGCAGTTGGATCTGGTAGATCTTGTCTGGTTGCTAACAGTGAATTGACATTCCCTCTGGTATGTTGTGACTTCATCATTTCATAAGATGTTTTCAAATTCTGAAATGATTTCTATATTTTTCTTGAGTTGATGTTCCATGAATTGCTTACTTCTTAGTATGCGGTACATAAAGTGGGCGTGCCTCTCTGTACATATTAGTTTTTGTTTTGAGTTCCACTTATGTAAAATTTAATGGCGAATGCCGGACTTCATCTGTGCTTATATTCTTTGGTGAATAAATTTTGTTATTTGCCTAAATTGTCTGGTTATGAAGAAGCATTACCTTATGTACTACAGTACAAGCTCAAAATATGACAAGGACTTCTTTTAGTCTTCTATGGTTATCAATTTTTTCTTTTTAAAAAAATGAAGTAAAAGAAGGAAAAGACACACACACACACACACACACAAAAAAAAAAAAAAAAAGGAAAAATCTTATAAATGTGTAGTATATTACGAACTATAATCAGCTACAAAACACTGAATACTTTTACATCATGTACTTGAGTCAACTACTTAAGAGCATATGTGGATAGAACCTGGATATTGATCAAGGCCGTTGCCTACACATGTATGGGGGCTTTTACATCTAGGGTTCTATCAAAGAACTTGGCAATATGTAACTCAGCAGTTTCAGTACTAACTAAACAGGTTTGACTTGGACCCACACTGGTATTTTGTGTTCCCTCAACAACTTTCTTAGTGAGGGATCAAGTTCAAAATAAAGTTCGAATGTTCTGTTTGATAAATACACTAATATTTCACTTCGTATATATTATGTCAAATCTAGTTGATATATTGACTTTATATAGCAGTTTAGATGATTTTTTGAAGTGTTTTTCAAATTACTAATTTGATATATGACTTTACTAATGGGATTGTGTAAAATTCTTCTAGCTATACCACTTATCTGCTTGACATATTTTGGATATACTTGGTTTTTTTAATTAATCAAAGGCACAAAATTGAAAATACTAGGTATTTGTCTTGTTTTTTTGCATTTCAATTTTTTAAAAAATTCAGTTACCTTCTTTCCTTGGCAATTCTTAGACTCTATAAGCATGCACTTTCTTTAATTCTTTTGACCCTATGAAAAACTTTCTCAACTGTTACATCCTCTTATGGAGATGCTTGTGACATCCAGAATCAGATGTTAGAAGGTGCTGTTTTCTTGGACTGTGGAACTGATTTGGGCTCTGGGCATCAGGTTCCTGGTTAGTTTGATCTTTCTCATATGACTTAGTAGTGTTCATATATGCAATTTTTGCACACGTTAACTTTGTTTCTTCAGTTTTACTTGTTCACGAGGGAGAGAAGGAGGGACGGAGGGAGGGTGTAAGTTCCAATAATTTTCAGAAGCCCTTAGTTTCCATAATTTGAATTTCTCAGGGACGGTTAAGAGGTTTAAGTATGTTAGCAAATATGATAGCCACGATTTACGGAATGACTTACCGTATTAGCATAGATCTGATTATGCTATAGAATATGTCATAGAATATTTTGTGATTTGATTTAGATTTGATTTTATTTCCTTTCTTTGATTTAGATTTGATTTTATTTCCTTTCTTGCAATATGAGCATTTGCTCTTTTTTTATCTATAAATACTAGAGTTGTGAATAAGTGATAATCTCATTCAAGCCTTTACACAATTCTCTTATTTTCCTTCTATATTGTATTTCTACTTGCTATCAGAGCTAGGGTGATCCGACCTCAATGAGGGTGTTGCGAGTTTGACACCACCTATTCAGAAATGGTCTGAGGAGACATAGTTATTTCTTTTATGTTCTGAGGGACATTGTTGATTCTTTCATCTACATTGTTTAAACATATGTATGAAGGGGAATGGTCTGAGGGGACATTGTTGATTCTTCCATCTACATGTTTTAAACATTTGAATGAAGGAAAATGGTTTGAAGAGACATTGTCGATTGTTTACAGTCTAAGGAGACATGATTGGTTGTTTATGGTTTGAGGAGACATTTTTTATTTGTTGATCGACACTTCATTTGAGAAAAAATCATCGCTAGTCAGATTTGCACTCTGCAACTTGTAGATTTTGAAGAAGGGTGCTAGCAAGACCGTGTTTGAAGATGCATTGTCCAAGTTGGGCGTCTCAGATATCCACGCACCAACTTGAGGGGGAATGTTAGCAAATATGATAGCCACGATTTATGAAATGACTTACCGTATTAGCATAGATCTGATTATGCTATAGAATATGCCAAGAATATTCTGTGATTTGATTTAGATTTGATTTTATTTCCTTTCTTTGATTTAGATTTGATTTTATTTCCTTTCTTGTAATATAAGCATGTGCTCTTTTTTATCTATAAATACTAGAGTTGTGAATGAATGATAATCTCATTCAAGTCTTTTCACAATTCTCTCATTTTCCTTCTGTATTGTATTTCTACCAAGTGTTACAGTTTTCCTTTGACTACTGGTAATATGTAAGGCCTAAGTTCCCAATTTTCAAAAGCCCTAAGTTGCCATAAGTTGAATTTCTCCAGCTTGGCACTTTGCTTTTTTTCATGTATGGACTACTTGTATCATTCCGCATTACTTTTCGAAAAGCTACATTATTCAATATTCTACAATTTACTAGTGAATCAGGGACGCAACTATAACACTCAACTCCGTTCTCCTCTCTTTTCTACTTTTTCTCTGACAAAATCTATTGCTAGAGTCTTGTTTTTCATCTTTATCCATCATTCTCTCTTTATATTCCTCAAGTCACTTTTTAAAAAAAAAATTAAAAAATTCATATTGAGTATATATTAGCTGATGTCAAAGCACTCTCCTGAAAATTTTGTGGGTTTGATGGTGGCTGATTGTCGTAATGAAAGAAAGTTAAGAGGGAAACAACAACCAACAAGCACACAAGGTGGTCCCTTGTCCTTTTTATCATTGATAACTTCCATCTTCATACAAATTTCATAAGTACCAAATTTGAGTACAAGGTTCTTTTGAGTAGGATGGATAGAAGTGTACCTTTTCTATTTAGGATTGCATTGTAAATATTTATCATGATAAATATTAGTATTAAGTTGAAGAGTTATTATTAGGTTTTGTAGACATGCCACACAAAATATCTAGCGTGGTTCAGCAAAGCCTACATTCACGGTGGAGATTAGACGAAAGTTTTCATTATGTGCAAAATAGGAGATTACAAGTTTCAGCCCCCAAACCCTAGCTCTTGCTCTCTTTCTCTGCGATTTTTAGTGTCTCAACTAATTCACTCAAAACCCTATGCGCCCTTATATATCAGGCTACAAGAGAGTACTAAACAGGGTCCATGATCCACAAGTAAAAACCGGGTCAAACTTTTTCCTGTGTCAAAAATTTTGGGCCCACACAAAGCTCATTCAACAGGTCTCAACGCGACTCTGCACCAAATTCGGGCCACAACATCACAGCACCTTTAGCAAAATATGATAAACAACCTCAAAGTGAGGTTGATTAGGACCATGCATGTATTGACTAACCACTCCAATAGAATAAGTAATATCACAACAAGTATTTATCAAAAAAAAAAGGTAATATCACAACAAGTAACAGTAAGTTCAATTAATTTCCCAACCAGGCAGCGGTATCGCCGAACATCAGCAAACAACTCTGCTCATCATCAAGTTTGATGGTTTGATGGTAGAGTCCATAGAAGTATCAGCAAGATAAGCACCTAAGAAACTGGTTTCAGAAAGAAGATCGGGAACACATTTCCAGTGAGATGCCTTGACAAGAACGAGCAACCTCAATTCCTAGGAAATAACAAAGCACACCTATGTCTTTATTATGAAAATTTTGACCCAAATTAAGCTTATTAGGGAAAAGAAAGAAAATTTTGACCCAAATGTCATTTCAACTCTGCAATACCCGCTGAATCACTCCCTGAGACGATAATATCATCAACATACAAGACAATGGTGCCGGCAAAATAGGGGTGGCAATTTAGCCCGCGTCGCATAGAACAAAATTGGTAGGCTTTTAAGCAGGTTAGGGGCAGATTTTGTATAAGTGGTTAAACCCGAACCAGGTTCGAGACAGGGACGGATATATGCCCGCCCAGCCCCGTTTACATAATGAAATTACATCCTTTAATTCAATATACCAATACCCTTATATACATATATATACTAGTAAAAGACACATGTGATGCATGTGGTGAACTCATAAGTTAATTTGTAATATTAAGTTCAAAAAAAATTTACAAAATAATCCAAAACAAAATAATTTATTTTACAAATAATTAATTAGCAACTTGTTTTGAGTAATTGAAATTTTAGATATTTATGAAGTGAATTGTATTGTCCTTTTTCATTATTTAGAATCCAGTTAGAAAGATTAATAAAAATTTACCCTTTCTAACCTATTTTTTAATAACAATACTAAAACTCCAAATTACATAAGGCAACTCTTTTAAAAAAATAATAAAAACTGCACCGCAAGCTTGGTTTGTCAAATTTAGCGAGATTATCTCTCGTCTTGGATACTTTGCTACTATTATGACTCAGCTTTATTCATTCGATGCACAGATCGGGGTATCACTCTTCTTTTACTTTATGTTGATGTTATGATCATCACTAGAGATGATTTGATGGCAATTCAGGAGCTCAAACAATTTCTCAATCGCCAGTTCGAGATGAAGGATCTTGAACCCCTCAGTTATTTTCTTGGTCTTGAGATCACTACAACTACAAATGCTTACTACCTCACCCAAGCAAAAAACATATCGGATCTTGTTTCGAAAGCAAGCTTAACTGACAACAAGATTGTTGATACACCACTTGAGCACAACACAAGACTCAATCTACATAATGGTGTATCTCTTTGGGATGGTACATTGTATCGACAATTGGTTGGTAGTCTGGTTTATCTCACTGTCACCCTTCCAGACATCTCTCATGCCGTCCACATGGTTAGTCAGTTCATGGTTGCCCCTAGATTTACTCATTTTGCTGCAGTTCTTCGCATCCTTTGCTATCTCAAAGGCACTATGTTTCATGGGCTTTATTTTTCTTCTCGGTCGTTACTTGTTCTCCAAGAAGAAAAATATATCAAATCTTGTTTCGAAAGCAGGCTTAACTGACAACAAGATTGTTGATACACCACTTGAGCACAACACAAGACTCAATCTACATAATGGCGTATCTCTTCGGGATGGTACATTGTATCGACAATTGGTTGGTAGTCTAGTTTATCTCATTGTCACCTTTCCAGACATCTCTTATGCCGTCCACATAGTTGGTCAGTTCATGGTTTCCCCTAGATTTACTCATTTTGTTGCAGTTCTTCGCATCCTTCGCTATCTCAAAGGCACTATGTTTCATGGGCTTTATTTTTCTTCTTGGTCGTTACTTGTTCTCCGTGCCTATTCAGATGCCGACTAGGTAGGAGATCCTACATATCGTCATTCCACCATAGACTTTTGTTTCTTTCTTGGTGATTCACTTATCTCTCTTGGCACAACAAGAAACAGATTGTGGTTGCTCGATCTAGCACAGAAGCTGAGTACACGGTACTTGCTGACACTACTTCTGAGGTTCTGTGGTTGCGTTGGCTGCTTCAAGACATGGGAGTTTCTTCATCCACTGCCATTCCTATCTATTGTGATAATAGGAGTGCAATCCAAATTGCACACAATAATGTATTTCACGAGTGCACCAAACACATTGAGATCATTGCCATTTGTTCGTCATCATCTTCTTCAGAAGACCTTACAGTTGCGGTCCATTACTTCTCATAATCAGATAGCAGCTATCTTCACCAAATCGCTTCCGCCAAGCCGCTTTAATGATCTTGTTTCCAAACTCAAGATGGCTTCATATAACCCACTTGACTTTAAGGGGGCCTATTAGAGTATATTGTATATTGTATACTAGGGTTAGGGTTAGCCGTCTTCACCAACCCTCATTACCATGTATACCATTACCATATAGGGTTTACTTGCTCTCCACACATAATCTCTCTTATATAAACCCCTTTGTAGTTTGTACCCTTGTATTCATTATCTCATATCAATACAATACATTGTATTTCTCGCTCTCTCTCTCTATACTTCTAACAACATATACGCATTATGTCTCTACACAAGTTAATTGAGGAACTCTAATAGGGACATAGGAGTGAAGAGCATTTGAGTGTGAGATCAAGCTTGAAGGAGCAAGGAATTCAAGAAGGTGTTAGCCCTAAGAATCACTACAAGTGATTGCTCTTCAAGGGTAAGAACACTACAATCTTGTATGTGTGTTAAAATAAATCATTCATTCAATGTTTTCTAATGATTTACATGCTTCCTGGGACAAGACCCATTTCCAACAAATATATCCACAGTTACATGCTTTGATTGGCCTTAAACCCCCTCAACCTTCCCTTTAGGGAGGAGAGGACATACCACTCAAGCCATGGCTTTGGTAGTCAATTATACTAGTTTTGGTGTAGCAACCTATTTCTATTTCTATTTATTATTATTATTATTATTATTTTATTGAGGGTTTCATAATTGGACGTTTAACCCATTTCATATGATGGGAGTTGCTGGTGTAATGGGCGCTGCTTTGCCAAACATTATTCATGGTTCTACCATAGAATATTTGATGGTGGTGATGGTGTAGATACATTCTGTGCTTTTAACGCAACCCGAATTGAAGAAACTTATTCAATGGTCACCGCAAACTGATTTTGGTCCCAAATATTGCGTATTGGTATGGTGAATTTTAAATTTTATTTTTACCTTTCCAATATATATATATATAATCTATGTAGGGAAATACATGGGAATGCTACCTTAGCACGGAGATGAGATGGAAGTCTGTTTATTCTTTACTTTTAGGTGTGAACCATTACTGTTAAATTCTAATTCCTAGGTACTCAGGTGCAAAAGGCATGTAATGTTTCTTCATGGTAAACATCTGCACTAATAGGGACGTTGTTGGAGGCTGAATGATGAAGCAAGTCTTATTCTATCACGCTTATAACCTGTATTTAGTGAGGATGCAATGGGTCAACGATAGGATAAGAAATGTGAATTTTTCATATAATATCAGCCTGAATTGAGTGTCACCTCCCTACTCTCAGATATCCAAGATTTTTGTTTTTGGTTTTTTGTTTTTGTTTTTGGATATGTAATATTTTGTGTGTTTCTTGCATTTATAATTCCTACAGTGGTCTCTTCTTACTTTGGCTTCCAAAATTTGCATAAGCTAACGGTCTGTTTTTTACAGGGAATCCTGCTCACAGACATGGCAAACCAGGAACAGGGGTTGGGCTTGGATACGGCCTTCGTTTCAAGTCCCAGTTGGGTCGCTTGCAGGTTGATTATGCTATCAATGCATTTCAACAGAGAACTCTATACTTTGGCTTCAGCAACCTCGCTTTATGATAGTCCCAACTCCAAAAGTGGTAAATCCCATGCCTTGATCTTCATTAGGTGGTCAAGCCATCCCTTTTTGGGGGTTAGTTTGGGATGAGATACGGGTTCTAAAAGGCATTGAAGGTCCCTAATTTGGAAGAAGTAATATACCATCTGTGCTATACCAGCAGGAAAAGAATTTGTAGATCATGTTCTGAAATATCTTCAAGCTGCTGACATGAAAGGGTGTATTCATTTTGTGGGAATCAAATAACCTACTTGAACCTTTCTTCACCTGATCCTTAATCAGATTAGGCTCTTTTTGTTTATTCTTTCAGTTTAATTCACAGTGAAAATTTGAGCTCATTAATTTGTATGATAGATTTGATACCAATTATTTGATGTGTTGTGAGAGAAGGGAAAAAAGGAAAACTACATGGATAATTCATCCTCTATTTCTTTGATTTGCAACATTCTGTTTTACGAGCATGTGACAATAATGACGCTGAAACTAGGGGACTTTGATTTGTCTTTGAGCATTTTGGACATGTTTAAAGTCCTTTTTTTTTTTTTCTTTTTTTTTTTGCAATGCAGATCCTTTTATATCATTATAGACTGAATTCAAATTCAAGGCATATCCTACGTGCACATTTTATTAGTCTTTGTAGGTCTGAATTTGAGTGCAAGGGATGTCTAGGTTAAAAATGAAATGGCGTCCGAAGTGAGGTGCAAGAGGAAGAGAGTAAAGTAGAGAGGTATGGGTGTTGACTTGTTTGGGGAATTCAATTTTTTATGGTAGTGGGAATTAAATAGTTTTTTTTTTTTATTTTTATATTTTTAAGAGAGAATTTTCAAATATATCTTTTAACACGGACAAGGATCACCTCCAGTTGTACAGTAGTCTATTTTCTTCATTTTTGTAAGTAAAAGTGCATCTCAACATTTTTGTAAGGTGCATGCCAATATTTTCCTACTTTCCATTTTAATATTTTCCTACTATGCATCCTAAATATGGGTTGACGTGGCCATTTTTGGACCACTCATTTCAAAATGGAGTAAATGATACACTATTTCACTGGAGATGATTTTCATCCCTTTTAACACTTCGTAATTAGTGCACTAGTTTAATTAAAAGGATAACTTGGGAATGTTGTTTCCTTTGTTCAAAAATTGTTTGATATTTTGGGTATTCTAACTTTTTATGGTAGTGAGTGAATTTTCAAAGTTATCTTTGTTAAAAAACATAAAAGAATACTCCGTAATTAGTGCGCACGTCAATGTCAAAAAGATAGTTTAGGTATATTATGAAAAAATACATTCATTTTTTTATGGGACATTTATTTTAGGACATTTCAAAACAGAAAAATGGACAAGAATTTTGGGACAAATAGAGTATAAAAAAATAGTAAATTTACTTTGGGAATGAGACGTTTATTTTGGAGTATCTCGAAATAGAAAGATGAACAAGTATTTGAAATGGATAGAGTACTTTTCTTACTTTTTGGTGGACTATCGCTCTCTCACTTTGATTTCTAGCATCGTTATTACATATGTAATGAATATTTCTTTAAATTTCTCAACAACCATAATAGAATAATAAAATAGTTAAATAAAAGTTTTTATTAATTTTTTAATAACTAATATAAAAAACTAATAAAGTGAATAATGAGCAAGGTGGTGTGAAGGAGGAGTTGAGAGCCGTGTCACTCGCCACACGCCATTGTCGATCATCTCCACGGATGGAGAACCAAATGAAGATTGTAAAAGTTGTTTTGCCTACTTTTTGGTGGTCCCTCAATCTTTCTCTCACTTTGATTAATAGCCTCATTATTATATATGTAAAATAAATACTTCTTTAAATATTATTTTCTTTAAATTTCTCAACAACTATAATTGATTAATAAAATAATAAATGATTAAATAAAAGCTTTTATTTTAATAAAGTGCATAGTGAGATAGTGGGCTGCCACATCAAGAGAATATGCATCACTTCAATAAAGTATGCTCACCGAATGTCCGAAGGGAGTATGGTTGGTGAAATAAAGTGGATACTCTCATTAGCACACTTTAATAAAATGTGTTGATGTGACTATCTACGTTTTAAGAAGTGGATAGATAGTATTGGGTATATATACTGGATGCCTTTAAATAGAATGAAATAACCTAAGTTATTAGAAAAAGACTTAATAGTTATTGTTGGTGGATATGGAGGTGAAAAAATAAAAATAGGATGGAAACGTGAAGGTGGGTCTTTGTGAGTTTTTCTTTACTATTTCATATTAGGAGATAAAATTTGAAAATAGTGTGTCTAAGAACAAATAGAGAGGTGACGGGAGGGCCACCATATATTTCTCTGTTCGTGTAGTTGTGATGTAATTTCCTATTTTCTTTAGGAGATGCCATAACACAGTAGATATGATTGTGTGAAAAAATAAACAAATAAACATCCCCAAATTCATAAATACCTTTCAAAAATTTATAGCAGAACAATTGAATAACTGAGCAAGAAGTGAGAAAAAGAGAAAGGAAAACACAATCATTTGATTTGAAGGCAGAATCAAGGGTAATGCATAAGTACTGTTTGGTTAGATAATTCGTGATATACATCATTGATAAGAACCGAATATTTCATATTCAAGCGCCCTTAATTGCATATTTTAAAATGCTCTACCACTGAGCTATTACAAAACCTTTTTCTCTCAAGCAAGGGCGACATTGGCAACATTAGGGTTACTAGGGTTTCCGGGGAAGATGATCTCCTCCATGGAGGAGGGGCAACCTTCCTCTACCGTGGGTAACGTACCTACTCCTTCCCCTCCATCGCAGCGCCCCTCATTGAGTTCTTTACTCCAGAATTCTACGTCTAATGGCTTTACGCCATTAACTTATTATAGCAAGAACCGGAACAAGGAGTGTGTGGTTATAGAAGATGAAGATATTGCTGAAAAGTTACAATTCTGGGTGAACTCTATGGTTTGCTATGTCTTAGGGAGTAAGCCTTACTTCCCCTACTTCAAATCTTATGTTCAGAAAAGATGGAATAAGGATGCAGTGGTAGTGTCGATGAAGGATGGGTTTTTCCAGGTCCGATTTCCTTCTGAGGATGATCTACTACAAGTTCTATCTCGATTTCATACATTCCAAGGTAGAGCAATCATCGTGAAGAAATGGCATAAGAGCATACAATTGGAGCGTGATATCTTAGCCACTGTTCCCATATGGGTGAAGGTGTACGATCTTCCAGTTCATGCACGAAGTGGAACTTCAGTTTCAAAGGTGGTGTCAAACATTGCTAAACCTATATGTATGGACGATATTACTCTCTGCAAGGAGAGAGGTTTATATGTTAGAGTTTTGGCAGAGATGGAGGTGGATGGAAAATTCCCAGAAGTTATTAACACAACGCTAATGGGCTACCTTGTAAAGTACAAATTGAATATGAATGGAAGCCTCAATTATGTGGTCTGTGCAAGAAGATGGATCATAATGAGAGTATGTGTCCTTTAAACAAGATTAGAATTTCTAAACCTAAGGAGAAGTGGGTAGTGAAAAGACCTGAGAATGAGAACATGGCAGTATCCAAAAAGAATATTAGTGATAAGGGTATATCAGATGGGGATAAAGATGGTTTGAGTCCTGTAATGGTGATAAACGAGGAGGTGGAGGGCTTTACAGTGCAAAGAAAATCAAATGGCAAAGCAAAGGAAGTATCTCATGAATCACAGTTACAAGTGGTCTCCTTGAATGCATTCCAAGTTCTCGATGAATTAACTGAGAGAGAAGAAGGAGGGGATTCTAATCCAGACATTAATCAGGGTGGTGCTAGAGAGATTGAAAAGTGTAATGAGGTGATTGTACCGTCTATGCTAAAGGTGATCTCCAGACTACAGATAAGGTGCAAAGTCTAATTCAAGTGATAAAGGTGGGGGTTCCAGCATCCCCAAAGGGTGGTAATTCTTCTTCAAAGAAGAATAAAAAGAAGGAGATAGAGCTTGATCCCAGTGTGGTTAGAGTCACTAGAGGTATGATTGCAGGTGGGGCGATTCCACCAATTTCATTGTCTAAATGATCGGATTGTGGAATGTAAGAGGTCTCAATAGGCTGGCTATGCAGAAAGAAGTAAAGGCCTGGTTGAGTGGTTCCTCGATTGTGTTATGTGGTTTGGCAGAAACTAGGGTCAATAGTAGTAAGTTCCAAAGGTTGAAAGATAAAATTAGGAATAATTGGAGTTGGGACAATAATTACACAACTGATGCAGGTGGTCGAATTTGGTGTGGCTGGGATCCAATAAGATTGGATGTTTCTGTGTTACTTATTAGAGATCAAATGATGTTGTTACAGGTAGAGGTTAAAGGGTCTAATACCAAATTTTTTGTGCCTTTTATGTCTGCCAAGAATACTGATAGAGAGAGGAAAACCTTGTGGAGCGATCTTGAGGATAGTGCTCAGTTTATTGATGGGCCATGGCTTTTATTGGGGGATTGGAATGTAATCAGAATTAATGAAGAGAAGAAAGGGGGGAGGTAACATCCGCCAAGAGTTTTTCAGGATTTTAATCAGACCATTGATAACTTATTTTTGACAGAAGTACCAACATTAAATGGTATGTATACTTGGTGTAATAATAGGTACTCTAATAGGAGGATCTATGTAAAGTTGGATAAGGGTTTAATGAATGAGGAATGGGGGCAGGTTTTTTCAAATTCTCATATAATGTTAACACCTCATTTAACCTCAGATCATTGGGGTTTAAAGATGGTGCTTCCATTACAGGTTGCAGATGGGCCGAAGCCATTTAAATTTATCTCTGTGTGGAATCAACAACCTGTGGTGAAAGACTTGATTGCTGAGCTATGGAAGACAAAGACCAGTGGAGATCCAATTAAAAGACTTCTGTACAAGTTAAAACTTACTAAACAAGCAGTAAGAGATTGGAATAAGGACAAGTTTGGTTCTGTTTATGAAGAAGCTATTTCTTGTAGGAAGAATTTGGCTGCTATTCAATATCAGTTGAGGGATGATCCCTTGAATAAAAGGCTTATTCAGATTGAGAAAGAAGGTAGGATGTCTCTTGAAGCTGCCATATCAAATGAAACAATCTTACTTGCTTAGAAGTCCAGGATCAAATGGGTGAAGGAACAAGATAGATGTACTAAATTCTATTTCCAAAAAATTAAACAACACAAAGCAACGAACAATATCACTGTTATTCAAGAGGATGGGGTTTCCATCACTGATCCAAGTATCATTAAGAGCAAGTTTGTGGATCATTTTCAGAGAGCTTATGCTAATGATCAACCTGCCTTTAATGCTCCGAAAGAAAAATTCATAAGGAACAAATTGTCTGTTGAAGAGATTATAATGCTAGAAGAGGCTGTTACTAGAGAGGAAATTAAGAGTACTGTGTTATCAATGGGACCAGATAGAGCACCAAGCCCAGATGGATTCACTTCACGTTTCTTTCAGCATTTTTGGAGCATTATTGGTGAAGATTTTACTGATGCTATTTTGCAATTTTTCTCTCATCCAGAATTGGGAAGAGGGTCTAATAACACATTCATCACTTTAATCCAAAAGAAGAAAGATGCACTCAAGGTGGGAGATTATAGACCAATATCCTTGTGTAATGTATTTTATAAAGTCATTGCAAAGATTTTGGTAAATAGGCTTGCTAAGGTGTTGGGGAAGATTGTGGATAAAGAGCAAAATGCTTTCATTTAAGGAAAAAAGATTCAAAACAACATTATCATGGCACATGAGCTATTGAGAGGGTTCGGTACAAAGAGAGCAAAGCTTACATTAGCATGGAAAATTGATTTGAGGAAGGTGTATGATACAGTTCAATGGTCATTTTTTCTAGATATAATGAGGCTCTTTGGTTTTGGAAATACTTGGATTACTTGGATTCAAGTGTGCTTATCCTCCGTTTAGTTCTTAATCATTGTTAATGGTTCTCCTAATGGTTTTTTTCAGCCTAAAAGGGGGCTTCAACAAGGTTGCCCATTATCCCCCCTTATTTTTACTTTGGTCACTGAGTTTTTCAGGTATGATTGATGCTGAGGTTAAGAGTGGTAAAATTATTCCTTCAGAAGTTGCTACAAAAGCTGGTTTAACTGTCACACACCAGTTCTTCACAAATGATTTGCTAATGGTTGTCAGAGCTAATATAGCTACTACTTTATGTTTGAAAAGAACTTTGGTGAAGTTTGAAAAACTTTCTGGACTTGCTGTTAACAAAGATAAATCAGAACTTTATCTTACTAGGTTTGTGAAAAGAAGATCTGCTGTGGTAAGGGCGTTGGGTTGCAAGGTTGGAAATCTTCCATTTAATTATCTAGGCTTACCTATCACTGATAAGATGCTGAGAAGGCAAGATTGTATTAGCTTGATTGATAAAGTTATAGCTACTACAACCAGATGGAATGGCATGCACTTATCTATGGCTGGGAGAGTGGAGCTTAGCAGGGCTGTAATTATTCCTATCGTGCTCATTAGACCTCAGTTTATTCGCTACCTGCTATGGTGGTAAATTTAATTGAGAGACGAATGAGGAATTTTATTTGGGGGCATGTAGAAGATAAAAAGAGGATGCATGGTCTGAGATGGAGCAAGCTAGCTGCTCCTAAAGAGGAAGGTAGGCTGGGGATTTGACGAATAACAGATATTGATACAGCTTCAAAATGCTCTTTAGCTTGGGATTTTTTGCTGTCAAAGGACAGAATCTGGGTGGCTTGGTTTGAAAAGCATTATTTAAAACAGGCTTCTTTTTGGAATATTGTTCCAAAGATTACTTGTTCTTCTATATGGAAGAGCATTATTGCAGTAAGGGAAGTAATCAAACTCAATTGCAGATATAGAATTGGGTCTCGACATAAGATCAAGGTATTCTTAGACCCTTGGTCTGATTGACTATTTTTGAGGGAGTTGTTTAATCGCAGATTATTGAGCTATTTTAGTAGGAATAAATTGTGTTGTTTAAGTGAATTTATTGTCAATAATTAATGAAATGATGAGGCATTGATGAATGCCTCTCAGGAGGTGCTACAGGTGTTCCATAATCAGAAGATTCATGGTGGAGTTGACGTACTGACTTAGAAGAATACTTTCAGCTTTAAATCTGTTTGGGAGGTTTGCATAACCAAAAATCAAGAGGTTAGCTGGAGTGAGATCTGTTAGAGTGGAGGGAGACCTCGGTGGTCAACATATTCTGTTTTAGTGATGCATCATACTGTTTTAACTCAGTTTTATGTGAAGCGCAAAGGGTATTCTCTAGCTTCAAGGTGCTGTTTGTGTTTTAGTTGTAAGGAAACATTGGACCATGTTTTTAGCAGTTGTAAGTTCACATGGAAGGTGTGGAACACTTTATCAGAATATTGTGGATGGCAGCTACAGAGATGTTTTTCAATTCAAGAATTGGCTGACATATTTATACAGAAATTCAAAGGTAAAGGTAGTAATAAGATGGCAAGGATTGTATTTTCTGCTACTCTTTACTTCATATGGATGGAAAGGAATAACAGAGTGCAAAAGGATATTCTTCAAGATTCTTTAGAGATTACTAAGGGCATTTTGTTTGAAGTTATTGATGTCATGGGGGTATGCCTTCAAGACATTATCTAGTTTAGAATTGGATTAGATTATTTTAATTTTGCCTTTTGATGGGGGTATGCCCTCATTGTTTCCATGTACTATATTGTTTATTTTTAAAACATTCCTTCATTTAGGAAAAAAAAAATTGCATGTTTTAGTCCATTTTTGAATCAATAATGTGTACTTTATAAGCTTTTGTGTATTTCGTTTATTTTCAGGATTTGTTCCCTAAAATCAATAAAAGTAAGGATTTACGAGATTTCAAGAGACATGGATTATGGCAAGCTGAGGAATCAACCAAAATGGGTCTTAGGATCATTAACAAGCTCAACTTGAGGAAGGAAGTCAACCCAAGAGGATTTGCAAAGAAGATGAAGCACCCAAGGAAATCAAGCTTGCGTCTGGACGCAGCTTCTAAGCACAAACTTGGCGTCTGGACATCTTGTGGAAAACTTGGCTAAACAATTGCAATTAAAGAAATAAAATTCCAATAGGCAACGGAATTTCCGTCCGGATGCCCATCTCTGAGTCCGGACGTCACATGCCAGGGTCAGACATTTGCAAGCACCTAGCGCATGCAAGGAGTCCAGCATTGACAAGCTGGGTCTGAACTCCCACTTGGCTTGCCACTTATCACCTTATGGGTGGTTGCTACTTTAGGTTAGTTTACCATTTATCCATCTACATTCCTCATAATACCAACAAGGTCCCCAAAATATCTTTCTAATATATAGATACACATATCTGTATATGCATATGAAATGCCAATAACGCCCCTCACTTAAAATGAGAAAACCGGGAGAGCTTCCGAACCTAAAAATCGTCCTGACTTCTGAAAAATTCTAAAATCAATCTCATCGTCTCTAATTGACTTAAAATATTTAAAATGAACTTCTAAAACCCTTGGCTCAAGAAAATGACCAAAACAGCCCTTAAGGCCCACGTGACACGCAAAACGAGGCTCAAAAAATAAATAAAATAAATATGCAGGACATTACAGTCGCAAAGCTAGGAATTGTCATCAATTAGTGTTTGTTAGAACAATAGGGTGTGAGCCTAAGTCAAAGTTCAGTGTACTTTTGTAACGACCCGAACCCGGGGGTCCGAATTGCTAACCAGGTCCTTACCCGAACCCGAGGTCAACTAAGGACAACACCGTCTTTTCCTACATCAATACTTGAAACACAAGTCAGTCCAGGGTCCAAAATACTCCAAAGGCACAACTTTACAAAGATGGTCAAATGTACAAGTCAAAGGGAAAGAATCAGCCGGCTGAAAGCCCTTAGTTGGCTGGCCGACAGGGTAGCATGGTCGGCCAGCTGAAACGGTTATAAAAAAATGGGTGCTCTCGGGACTTTCCAAAAATATCCTGTCAGTCGGCTGGTGAAGGAGGTTCAGTCGGCCGAACCTGGGGTTTCCGTCGGCTGATGGTGAGGTTCAGTCGGCCGAAACAAGACTTCACACACTTGAACTCTCTGGAATGGTCTCCAACTGTGCTCGTTATGAACCAAACCTATGATGGACCTGTTATGTAATCAAATTCACAATTCATGGCAATAGAACATGATATAATATAGTTGAAAGGTATCTATAATTGGTCGGAATATAACTTCATTACCCATTCAACATGAAATAATTACATAGTCTCATTTTACTTCAAAATACCATCACATGTTATAGTTACAATACATGACTATGGTTCACAAAATGAATACACTTTTCTATGGATTGAGACCTTACAAAAGAATGGAACCATATATACAAAAGACGACAAAAAATGGATTTCTAGTCCTCCTTAGCCTTGTGAAGGGTCTGCGTTTACTACTTCCTTTCCGAACCCTGAAAAATATTAAATATAAGGGGTGAGCAAAGTTTGCTCAGTAGGTGGTGCCTAAGACACTCCTCTTGTGACCTCGTGAATCCAAACAATAAATAGATCAATAGGGAACGGGATCATGCTATGTCGGGAAAAGTACAACATCAATTTCAAGTTCAAAACAAACAATGCTGTGCTATGAAATGTAATGCCATGCCATGTCGCTCCCCCATTTTCAAAATCACTTACATTCTCCACTTTTCAAACCGTTAACATAACCAGTCCCTCGGTGACTCCTCGGCGACATGAGAGAAGGATTGGCTACTGTCCCTGACCCTTGGTAACTCCGCAGTGTCATTTGGGGCCTAGATAGCTCAACCACGCTAGGGTGATTTCCCTAGTTCCCTCTAGGTTATATTAACACCACGGCCCTTTGGTAATTCCTCGGCGACCGGGTTTTTCACAAAACCATTTTAATCAAAACTTTAACCCAAAATCCCTTTTTCATTCACTTCAAATCAATATACCTTTTTTCATGCCCGATGCTATGCATGTATGTCACATGCCTTTTCAATACTATGAAAATGAAGGAAATTAATACTACACAAATTAACATACTTTCTTATAATAATTTCCAACAAGTTAATAAACATCATAGGCATGAAAAATTAACACTTAGACATGTTTTTCATACAAATCAATTAATACACATAATCATGAATTTCATACACAACATTTACATCATTTTAAAGGCAATCAACTCAAATTAAACATGCTTGATAACAAATATTGGAAAAAAACTCACAAAGGAACAAAAAATTGGGAATTAGAAACCCCTACCTCACTTAGATGCAAAAACCCCCAATTTGCCCAATCCAAGCCCTAGAATTAGAAATTCCTAGGGTGCACCAAAACCACTTTTGGTCCGATCAAATTGTAGATTTCGATGCGCTCTTCGTTTTGCCGCAAACGGCTCCCAAAAATACCAAAAGATGAAGGAGAAATCAAGGATTGATTTTTTTGTTTTGAAAAGAAAAAGAAAATGGATCAAGAAGGGAGAGAGAGAGATAGCTTACGGGAGTGGGAGAAAATGTGAGGCCAACATGGCCTTTTGGCCACAATTTATATAAGTGGTGGGTCTTACCACTTTTAATTAAAAAATTTCTTTTTCTTTTTATTTTTACACCACAATTCTATATATATATATATATATACACACACACACATAACAATTCTACACCACATATAACAAATTACATAAAATAAATGTAATGCAAATGGACCTAAACAACACCCTCGTACACTACGATTCCAG